CGCTTTTTTTGTTTATCCAAAAACAAACTTGACAAGGGGGGAAACTTTTGTTGGTTAAGGATCTGAAAGATGCTTTCGGAGTTTTCCCCAGCTGATGAATCACTGAAAACCTCAACCACAGAGCGCATCTATTGTTTTTTTTGTGTACACATAATGCTCCACCTGTCCTAGATAAATCTATCAAACATTGAAAATAAATAAGTAAATAGATGCGTCTTTTGCTTTGAAAGGAAAAGTGACAGAACTTGCCTGATCTTTGTATTGGTCAGTGTTGCGTCGTTCATCATCAACCTGCAACATCACCTCTTTGAGTTTCTTCTCCGTCCTCCTGACCAGCCTGGAGGCCTGCTGGCGCTCCCTGAAGCAGAGGTCGATCAACGTGAAGATGGGGAAACGGACAGGACTGTAAAAAGCTATCCGACACCACTCACTTTGACTCCACATCCAGCTGCTCTTCCAGCTGAGCGATCCGGGCCTCCAGTGAGGTGATGGAGGACTTGTACTTTGACTTGATGGTGACCTCGAGCTCCTGCAGCTTCAGTTTCAGCTCCTTGTTCTGGCGGTCCAGCTGGGAACGGTTGCCCTCCAGCCGCTGGGAATTGCTGCGCTCTGTAGACAGCTCGGTGTTGAGCTGATCATTCTGAGGTCAGAGACACGGAGGACGTACTTAGATGTGCGATAGCGATCATTAGCATCCTCCTTCTCAGAGCGTCTACCAATCCTACCTGCAACATCGTTCTCTTCAGACGATCATTAACCATCTCCGTATTCAGATGTTCCTCGTCCAGTTCTTCCTCCAGCTGAGCGATACGAGCTTCCAGCCTCCTCTTCTCATCTGACAGCAAAGAACTGCCAGGAAAAAATGGGTGTTAATGAACTCAGAGTGATCCAGAAACGGACCAGTTTCTGGTTCTAGACGAGTTACAAAAAACAAACCGGCTCATTTAGACAAAGAGCCGATGTCTCCGGGTTCTTACTTTTTGGTATTGCTGCCGTTGACCTCCTCCTGGAGCTCGTCCCGCTCGGTCTGAAGCTGTCTCTTGAGTCTGTCAGCTGTGGCCAGATCCTGATAGAAAAGGAGCAGACCTTAAGAGAAAGCAGTTCATATTCTACAGACTGCTGAAGCACACTGATGAAATTATCACTTTGCTCAATAAAGCCAATTTCATAGCGATTATCTTTATAAATTTTTCGATTCCTTTTGATTAATAATAGGATGGCAAGAAGTTCCCTAAAGAAGAACTAATAACCATTCTAAAAAAAGGTAAAGCTACGCTACTTGAGTGGGTTGCTCTTCCAGGTTTTTGTAACAGTCCGTACGCTTGGATTGAAATTTGAAAGATTGAAATTGTTTCCCAACACATCAATTCCCTTTAATATATTGATTTATAACCGGTTAGTTTAATCAATTCAGGCCTTAAAGTTGCAAGGCTTTAAAGTGTCTAAGGGAGAGGGTTGTTAATTATGTTAGGGAGTGTTTGGGACATTTCCGCTTGGCTCAACCTTTCTTATACCTCATCTAAATGCTTAGGTTATTCTGAAATATTTTCTGCATTTGTGCTGCTATAGGCTTAGACTGCTGGAGGACATAGGGAC